TTACGACTTTCATGGGGCGACCATGGTGTGTTGAACCAGGGACTTTCTTGTGAATCCCTTGACCGAAGAAATATTCGACATTGTTAAACACGATTGCCGTGTGATAGATGGCGTCGATGTGAATGCCGGTTAATGTTCGAGAGAACTGACGGGCGAGGCCCTGGACGCCATTAGATTGTTTCACCGATGGCTGGATATGGGATGGGTGTTATATACCTGTGACAGGTCATAGATGTACAGCTGGACTTCCATAGCTGCACGCGAGTGATGTTGAACGTCGCTATTACATCATGTGTAGTTGAGAACGATATATAAACTGGATGTTCTTTGGCGAGTTCATCTCAGCAAGCTCTCAGGCGGCAAAAGTACGTCAGCCACCGCAGCCTCGCAGCCTCGCAGCCTTGCGAGGTGATGGAACGTGTGGCGTCACCAACACGGTCGTTTCTCTGCTGTGACCAACTACAACCGTTCCCCCCTCCACTCACAAGATTATTTCTTCAAAGCCCATCTCGATCCAAACTCGGCGCGAAGAGACGACAGGGTCATCTACATTTACCTTGGACAAATGGGTGGGATGCTGGAGTGAGTTTCCTGCTAAGCCTCTCCATTCCGGCATGCCCCCCCGCAAGACGCCTTCCAAGGGCAAGGTCGCCGTCAAATCTGCGCGAGATGGAAACCCTTCTTCAACGTCAAAATTACGCTGGTCAAAGCTTGCAAAAGAGAACGACATCACAGCAGAAGAAGAAACCGCGGTCAAAGAAGCATGGAACCTCTTTCGCCTTGACGAGGTGGAGGAATACGAAGACGAGAAGGAAGGTGTGATTCGGACGAGGGACGTGCAGAATGTGTTGAAGTAAGTTTCTATGCAAGGAGAGACGAAGCTGGTGAATCAAACCAACGTGACATTCAGTGGCTGACTAGTTTGTCTACTGCTAGAGCACAAGGCCTCGCTCCGAGCAGTCCATCGCAAATGCACGAATTCATTGATACACTCGATCCTGAGTCCAAAGGCTACGTGACGTACCCGCATTTTCTGGCCTTGTGTGCCATTCAGCTGAAAACCAAGACCGATGAGGTCAAGGCAGAAGAAGTCGAAAGCGCCTTTAATCTCTTTCGTCAGGGTCAAGGTGACGGTGGTCAGGAGCAAGTGATTCGACTGCAGGACTTACGTGCCGTGGCAACGACGTTGAAGGAGCAGGTTGACGACGACGTACTGAAAGCCATGATATTGGAGGCGAATGGGGGAAAGGGTGTCGGCAGGGGTGTGAACATGGACGAATTCCAAGCTATCATGACACGGGCCGGTGTCTTCCAGTAGCTTGCTCTGCCCTGGGAGTAGATATGATTGAGATCAGACTGTACAACACGAGACGAGAGATTGAAATATCGATGTTTCCACACAAATCAGTCTGCAGCCCATGATACAGCCGCGACAAAAGAGAGGCGTGGAAGTCTCGCAGCCAGATTTCGTCTTCTGGCCGTGGAATCGAGACCTGATACTTTTCTAGCTTCCCTGTCCACACTGGCTCGCTTTAGAGCGAAAGGAAACGGCCAGCTCTAGCATAGATAGAAGCATTCGAGATAAAGAGACACCCAAGAAGGCACAAAATCCCAGATCGTAGGTTGATGGCGGTGAGGGCTGGTCGAAGCGAAGGTGCTTGGTCGAGCGGCATCAAGCCAACATTACACGGGGCCTTCAACTTCAGGGCGAGAAAAATGAAGGGCGTTAAGCGACAATCCCGAGTTCATGGTGCTTCTGGGGTGAGATCTATTCCACACGGCCCTGAAGAAGAGGAGCAAAAAATTGATGGCGCGAAATTAGTATGCTCTACCGAGTATATTACGGAGGATTGGTAGTAATTTCGGCGCCGAGCATTTTTAGAAGAAAGAGCAAAAAGGTTCTAATTCTAATTCCAGTTCTGGTTGCATCTTGACACTTTGGGAGCTGGAGCGCTAGAGAATACCCCCCCCAAAAAAAGACACGATATTCACCAGCAGCCATATATTGCTGGTCTACCTTAATGCGGCCTTAGGTCCTAAACTGGGGCATGTGTCTGGACTCCCTCGCACATCCACACCTAGACAAACAAAATGCGATACTGATGCCAAGGCCAGGGGCCTCGCGTCTTGTCCCTGTACAACATTTCCAACTACCGAGCCAAGGAGGAAGAATATAGGCAAACATGTGTAACATCCTCGACGCCCTCATGGAATCTTTCCCGACACCCTTGCAGATGGCAGGTTATGGTTCTTCCCCTTTTCTGTCATTCTTACTTGACGGATACATATACATGAAATAATCCTCTTCCGGAGTTTGGTCCAGCAACTCCTGGTTACGCCCAGAACGACCCAAGCCATCGAATTCTTCATGTATAACCATTATTGGCATCTATTCGAAATAATCATAATCATACAGTTCTTGCTGGATTCGCTTTTCGTCGGGTTCTCCTAGAAGAAACCCCTAACCCACAAACACAGTCCAGAGAGGAGATAGGTCTTTCTTCAGGGCGTTCCAACATCATCGACTTTCTTCCATATCGGTCCATGTAATCCGACCACCTATTCTCGAGAAGAACCTCTTGTGGTATCGTGACGCGTTAAAAAGCTCTGTCCGGGCTCAGTTGGGTCAAGTGATATCCAATGTATCCATCCTCCATATCTCAACATGTTGTACATCCTTCTCCTGGATTCGCTTCACTCGCCGCCTATACACGGTTTCATCCTTCCACTCGTCTCTCTCACCATGGTACCCGTTACAAGCGGCTTGTTGAACATTCTCTCCGTCATCAACTCTCCTTCTGACGACCTCCTCCATGATTCCCCCGATTTCCCAAACCTTGCATCCTAGCCCAATATACTTCAATTTTGGAAAATCCGGCAGCTCGGTTCCCCCTGGGCCAATGTGCTCGGACAGAGCCTCGCTCATCTTCTGCTCGTGCACAGAATCTGGGAGACCCACAAAACCCCCATGCGCCTCTCTGCTTTTCCTTCCCTCCTTCCCGCTGAAAAAGACATCCGGCGGGTAGATGGGAGCGAGCACACGGATCGCCCACAACTCGCTCAAAAAGGGCATCAATAACCTCAACATCTCAGCCTGGGACTCCTCAAGACATTCAATTGCGGCGGCGAGCTGTGTAAGATTCGGGCACGAGCGGATAAGGCGGGCGGTGATGGATGTGGGCAAGGGCCAGCGGGAGGGTAGAATTAGGTGTTGAAGCGTAGGACCGCAGATAGTGCAGATGTTAGTGATATAAAGATCCCTTAAAGAGATTGTGGCTGAATGTGAGGCTGAGCTCGTTGGCGTATTCCTGGCGGAGGCACTTCCACTGCCGCTTCGAGGCGATTGCTCAGCTGAGGTGGGGGCAGAATCTAAGGTGCTATTGCCGTTGCTGTGGCCTTGATCGTTGCAGTCTGCCATAGTAGTGCTTGATCCGCTCGGTTTGTATCTTGCATTGACAAGATACAATCTCTCCAGCCCAACGAATTGGGCTAGGTCCAACGCATGCCGTTTATGCAACTGATCTAACCTCAGGGATTTGGGTCTCGGTTGGTCTTTCTTCGTGTTCACCATCATATGCCATGTGCGGTCGATAAAATGGGTTGCGCTTTCCCTCCCCGATGCAGCAACATCCTCGTCCAACCCAAACGTATTCAGCGCTGTCACATCCTCGATGGTGCTGGTATCAAAGGCAGCCAAGCATTCCGATGTATCAGCGTTAGCGAGAAGGTTGTACACGCCCATTTTGCGCAAACGAAGTCTCCGTTTTGCCGCAATATTTTTCCGAAAGAAGTGCGTGAGCACCACAGACGGTTCGCCTTGTTCGCGCATCCGGGGGGAGAAGTGCAAGACTAGGCTCGAGAGGCGTGTCGCGTGGAGGAGTAGGGTGGAGATGTCGTCGGGGAAACATAGAGGATCGTAATGTGTTATTGTTAGAGACTTGAGATTGGGTAAAGCCGGGATTTCGTGCGATGGCTGAGGAGAGCGGTTTGTAGGGAAGCGAAGCCAAAGTTCCTCCAATCGGGAGAGCTTCGTGAGTCCAGCGTACATGTTCGGTTGTAATCTGACATCCAAATCCCACCGAAAGCGCTCGAGATAGGCACATTGGTCAATGGCAGCCCGCAACGCGATGTTCAGCACCATAATACTCTCCGAGACGCGACCAGCTCTTGAATATTCGTGTAGATCGGATGCAGTGTATTCTCCGTCCAACCTCAGTGAGCGGACCAAACTCGACACGTTTCTCGTCACCAAGGCATTCAGACCCATGGAGAAAGGACTTGCGCTGCCAAACCCCTCAGGCACCTCGTCCTTGTAGCGGATAGTGCTGTATGATTTCAGGGTGACATTTTTCCACAGATGCGGTAGTGTCATGTACCAAAGGACGCGTGAAGTACGACAAAGCCGCGCAAGGGAGGCGACATCGTCGTCCAGGTATGAGATGATGTGGGCAACAGTGGTGAGAGGGAGCGTGTCCACGCCGAATGCGCCTTGTACTTCGGGGCCATTGCAGTACAGATGGTTGGCGCGCAAAGTCATAATGTGGCGTCATTGAGGAAAGCAGCAATGGCTATGGCGGTCGGTACATACCCCTGGTCTGGGGGGATGTGTATCCTCAATGCATTCACAGAGTTGATAGGCCGTAGATGGCAGTTGAAGTTCACATGGTAATAATGCTATCAATGCTAGGCAGAACAATTCGCCATGTTGACTAATTTGGGGAGCATATGCTCCGCAGCAGCGCTGAGACTAGTCCGCAGCATAGGCCTCCAACAGCGTAATAACATGCTGTCATGAGTCTTGCTTCTTGACAACGATGGCTCAGAGGAGGCATTGCTTATGCCCTGCCATCTTCAAATCAGTATACACGGTCGACGTTGGAGGGACACGAGTTGGAAAGACTATGCATGTCCGAACTTTTTCTCCTCCAAATGCCACGAGAGTCGTCAACAGATGGAAATATTGTAACTGATTTATGAATCTAACGTAACCACTAATTTGATCATGATGCCGTGCCACCCGTATCTCTCTCATCAGCATCCCTACTATCTGGGGTTGGTGATATACTTCTGCGCAGCTGTTCGCTGGGGGGCTGATCTGCCGTGTGGATAGGTGACGAGGAGTTCCCGACATCAGTATCACGAGCAGACGATGCCACATCGGCGCGTGCGCATTCGCCCGTAGTGTCAGCCATCCGAGCTTGATCTGGAGGAGCGTACGGCTCTGGGCAATGTTGTACTGGACCTGGTACTTCACTGCCCACTTCATCTGTAGCGTCTTCTGCAATTGGAGCAATGGCCAGAGGCCGGGCGTACACTGTGGACCTTGGCAAACCTGTTTGAAAAGGGTCTGCCGTCCGGCTCGTCCTAGCTTCTGGTTCAGAGATGGTGAGTGAGCCCCGGTGGACGTAGGTTTGCTGAGCTCGCATGGCCTCGCTGGGACTCGACGAAGAGTTTGGGAAGAGGGCAGCGTCGGGACGTTGAGGGCCTGGAGTGAGCTGAGGGCGGACATGCGGTTCATCTGGAAGCCAGGTTTGACCGTTTACAGGAGCTGGAATAACAACCACCTGGCTCTGGTCGGGAGCATTCAAGTGTCCCACAGCAGATCCTAGCTGCTGACCCGAAGTCTCCGCTGTTTCCATGCGATCAGAATCATCATCGGTTGACCGGTCACGAATATCGTCAGGAGACCATGTCCGACCATTACTTTTCGGTGCTGGAATGACTGTGACTGGCAAGGCAGCTACGGGTGCATTTCCTCGACTAGCAAACCGCTCTCTTTGCGTGGACGCAAATGCTCCGAGTCGATCTCTTAGATTAAGGGTGCGATCGATTGGTGACCGCCGCACCCCGTTTGCATTCTGTGCATCAGCCACTTCTGCTGGGGGCTCTGATCTCCGTCGTTTGAAGGGATTGGGCATTGCCTGCCAAATGGTTCGTCCTTGGCGACTTGGTTGCATCGGAAGGACCGTCTCCAATGCGAGCTCCTTTTCGACGTCAGAGGGAGAAGATCCGGCGTCGTCAGACAGTTTTGGAACATCGAAACCGATAGACCCTTCTGGTTGGGACCGCGGTTCGGGCTGTGGTTTAGGCGACGGACTCGACAAGTTGTGATAGCGGACGGCGTACACCGTGCTAGCGGCGCTCCCCGTGTCACTTCTGCTGGGGGGCATCATGACCTGCTGGGGAATCACATACCGTGAGTCGGGATTGGCTTGACCGCCCGCGTCAGTTGCGTCCGCACCGGTGGCGATTCCGTCCGCAGGAGGCCTCCTCCGCCTCTTTCTCAGCGGAAGCCGGACACGAAGGCGTTGATATCGGGATGCCATGCCTTCTGCCATCCCCTTCCGTCCACCTCCTTCTTGATCAGGTCTGGTATCATCTCCTCGCCAACTTGCATCCTCCGAGGGTGTCATGTTCAACATCTCGTCGCCGTCAAAAATCTCCCTCCCAAGAATGCCATCCTTTCTTTCATCTCGCTCCAACGATTCAATTCGCTCGACCCATTCCCAAACAACCACACTTGCAGCTGCAGCACCGACCCACCGAATATATTCACCCCATCCCGCCAAATCTGGTTGCGATATGTCCAGAATGAAAAATACTACAGGGATCACAACTGAAACCAGTGACAGGAGCGCCACCAAGCAGATATTTTTCATCTTCGGATGCCAAAATGCAAAACGCCTTTTAGAAAGACAATAATACACCACACAGGATGCGTAGATTAGCGAGATCGCCAGCTCGAACAAATAATTGAGAGCGGGGATTGCGTCCGAAAAGCTCCTCGGCCGGGTCCTTGGGTTGCCACTGACGAAAGAGTCCAAAATGCTGAAGATGGTGTCGAAGGATACCATGGCGAATCCAAGCCATTTGATAGTGACTTTCTCTTTATGCCGTGGGAACAGCCGTATCAGTGTTTGTACCTGGGCTAGCCACAAGAACGTGTCTGAGATGACTCGGATGATGCGAATTTCCAAACTATCTACCACGTTGTCGACCAGCTGGCTCGAGTCAATATAGCCCTGGTTATATTGCTTCTCAGCGACGTGGAAAGTGTCTGCCGTAGCGATCGTGAGGGAGATTGCCACGGTGACAGTGGCAATCTTTTGCAGCAGAGGCCTCCGTCCCACGCCAACGATGGACGACGATCCATACGATCCTGTTATCATGCCACGACGGCCCAGGAAACGGGCTCCCCCTCCGCCTCCTGGACTTCCGACATAGAAGGTCCTTGGAGTAATGAAAATGAGGATGACGAGGATATAGCTGATGACGGTCGCTGTGGCAAGGGCGAAAATCTGGGGTGATATTGAGGCATAGAAAGGATTAGAGAAGCCAATGACGGAGGAGTTGCCAGTGGTGTCGGGGCTGATGATGGACTCGGGGTTTTCGCAAGGGAGTTTGAAGGTGACTTGGGCCGAAAGGGTCGTTGTGGTATCGTCATTGAAGATAAAGATGCCTGTCTCTTGAATCAACACATAGTCTTGCATATGCATACGGGATTTGGTTGCCATTGCGCACCTCCACTTGGCAGTATCAAAGGGGTACACCAGGCGTCGGAAGCCGTGCTGCTGGTGTGAGAAGTACTCGACTGGCCCCATAGTTGGCGAGCAGTGATTGAAGCATCGGTGGACATGCCGTAAGTACCGTTGAAGTTGTATAGCGCCAGCAAGCGACTCCGGTTTGCACATTGTCAATGCACCAGGACTTTGAGGGCGTTGCAAGAGGGCAGACGCGCCGCAGGCTTTGGTTATACGAGCATAGGCGGAGCGATGCTTTCGGGCTCAGGTTCGGTCTGATAGAGGGGAAGAGGACGGCGAATCGAGAGGAAGCAAGATAGAATCGAGCATGCGCTGCAAAATAGAAATATTTTGGGCGGGAACTGGTGCCCAGACAAAAGACGTGCACAGTAAGTGTTGATGATGGTTCCAGTCGAAGTTCGAGGACGGCGGCGATAGGTGGCGGGGCCAGTTTGAGAGGCAAAGCTAGATCTAACCACTACCGCACCACCAGCTCCGTCAACTCGTCGGTCACATAACTCTACAAAGCCTCTGCGGGAACATGGCAGGATACGAGGTGATTATTCTTGCAAAATTTCCGGTCCTGCTATTTGCAAACTCACTGCGTTGGCTAGATCCAAGGATGAACTACGTACGTCAACACCTCTGGCGCGGGTCTCAGCCAGTGCCCCATCGTCCAAAGGCCACCCAGGTCATCACGAACATGGCCATGATTGTTCATTCTTTATAGCTTGCGAAGGTCATTCCTCCTCTGACAAAAAAGATTGAGATTCGTAGACTCGTCCAAAAGGTTTTGCTACCGCCATGGCCGCGGAGCTAGATTGAAGCGACTCTTTCAAGGAGAAAGAAAATTCCCAACGCACATCACCACTTCACATATTTCCATACCCAAACGTATGGCTGCCCCACTGCATCTGGCTGTAATTTCGATTGGTGATTGCTTCAAGCAAGTCTCGACCACCCAACGTCGGACCAATGCCACCAAATCCTTGGTCGACAATGGCTTCGTCACTGCCCCAGAGGTTGTCAAGTGGTAGTGCGAGCCAGTCGCCGCCCGGAAGGTCGGCCATCGTCGAGCCCATATTGACATCATCCGGTAAGGGAAAGTCAATGTCATGGTCTCCGCCGAAATTGGGAGGGGGCACAAATGTCTGCGAATCCAAGTCCGCCATTGGTCTGGCTTGAATTCCCGCGAGAGGATCGTTCACGTAGAACTCGAGCTTTGGTTGGATTGAATTGTTGGCTTGAGGCTGTTGTTGTTGCTGTTGTTGCTGCTGCTGCTGCTGCTGCTGTTGCGAGTGATCATTTGCGCCGTCAGGTCCGTGGGGATGTGGAGACTGTGGACGAGACTGTTCGCGGCTCGGACCTGCAGATCCGGTGCCAGGGTGTTGGACTCGAATCATTGTTTGCTTCACGTTGCGAACTATGTTTTGCACGAGTCGAGACGTTGAAGAGGCTAGGTGCACGTCGTCGACAACTTCTTTGGACAAAAGCTCTGTGATTTGGTCCAGCTGCTGGAGACACTTTCGCACCAGTCCTTCATGGGTGCCCAAGCTGAATCGCTACGCCAAACAAGGTCAATTGCCAGTGTCACATGTAAAAACGGTAGGGTTGCGTCTTACCTTCAGAGTAAACATCATGCCCGACAAGCTGCGCAGGTATGTGCGGACAGGCGCGTTTCTCAGGAAGCCTTTTGCGGCGATGCCGTCAATGACAAGGCTAAGAATATTGAGGGCAGCCTCAGTGACTTCGTCAATGTAAGGCTTGTTCTCTTCTGAAATCCTGAGCAAGGTAGCTTTCCGCATAGTTGCCCCGCCTTCTACCCATGACTCCACGACCTTTTGGAGGCCGAGTGAGTTGATGTACAGGCGAGCATATTCGTATTCCATGAGTAAGATGCATTGCATGACTGGGTGAATATGATGTTTCACCTTCTCAAACTCGGTTTTCCAACGCTGAAGTAGAGGGGCGAGGTTAGCAATGGCCTCCTTGTACCTTCCGGTTGTTGTCAATTCTCTTGTGAATTGATGGGACGAAAAGATTTGCCGATTTGCTTGGTTCATGATCTTGGCCACATGCACCCAGCAGCCTTGCATGATGTCAATTGGATGGTCTTGCTTCGGGCTGATTTTGTCCCAGACTGCGTCGGTTTCCCATTCGTTGACGTTGAGAGAAGACTGAACGCCCATTCTGCCGCTAGTCTGTGCAACGTAAACAAGCACCAGACGTCGAATGCGTCTCTTCCGTGCACAATCCGACTCGGGTCCATGCTGGTGGCGGCAGTAGAAGTGGTTCGTATCGAAAACACCCAGTTCAAATGCAAGACTTTGAGCAAGACCAAGAAGCATCCATGACATACGGTCAGATCGCCACGCAGGTTCGAGCCAGCTCGCATAAGGAAGATTGTCATAGTCCCTCGTGCCTCTCTGCTCATCTTGCTGTACAGACCTCTGGGCATTCGCTTCGTTATTTATAATAAGGCTGTGATCGAGAAGGCCATTTTCTTCGTCTCCGGGAGGAAAATGCAGCGCACGTGGTTGCCAGTCGGTAAGCAACAGAAGAGCTTCGATGGTGCCCAAAGTGCGCAGGCTACCTTGCCAGGTAATTTGCCCTGTGTTAGACTCGTGTATTTTTGCATTGTTGCCGCCTCCGCAGAACCCACCTCCGAATTGTTCTTGGCCCCAGAGAAGGCGTTCCACCTGACGGCGGAGGTGAGTCCAGAGTTTGTCATGAATCTGATATGACCGAGACATTGCGGCGTAACCTGAGAGGGGCATATGACGCGAAGCAATGGCGAGGATAGCCAGAGCTAGAATGGGCTCGTCAGCGAGCAGAACGTGGTGTTTAATGGGTGATCTGAAATCTGGAAATACGACTGGAGTCATAGGAGCCAGCTGGTCATAGAAATATTCAACATATTGCATAGCTTCCCAAGCGGTGAACCATCCGTTGCGGACAAAGCGCATCTGCGACCAGGTTTTCAAACCGGCTTCCTGTTCCGCCTGCTCAGTAGGGGATAGGCCGACACCAGGAGGTTCCTCAGGGCCGCCATGACCAAGGCTCGAAATCGCCTTCTTCCGTCCGCCTCGATCAGAGAGCGGGCTGTCTTTGTCGCCTGGACTGACATCTTCAAAGACGTTTGCAGCATCGACAAGAAGCATGATGCTATCTTGAGTGCTTGACACAGGAGCGCCCAGAGTTGCTGCGGCTACCTGGCTGTGCAACTGAACGTCAGATGCCGGCTTGTTCGCAGTTGATCCGGGATACATGGAAGAAATCTGAGAGTGATGTGAGCCGTTGCGCGGTTGTGAAGTCACTGATGGTCCGGGGTTGTGAGCCATTTGAGGTGACCAAGATTGACGACCAAAAGCAGACGTCCGGGATCCCTGTGGAAGGACATAGGGGGACAGGCCATTATTATTTATAGCCGATCCTTCACCATTGTCAAATGTTTCAGAAACCGCTCTCGCGGTGCCGTCTGACTTCTTCTGTTTCTTCCTTGTCGGCGCAAATTCGCACTGCAGACGCTCGCGCAGGCACCGCTTGCAGGGGGGATCTGCCGGGGCATCAACACCTGTGGCATAACATCGTCAGTGAATATGAGAGCAACTGTCCTCTGTGTAACATACTCCCTAGGTCACACTTGACCTTGCGCTCGCGACATCGTTGGCAAGCTTGATAGCCTCGTCGATGAGACCTGCCTTCACGGGGCTGTGCCACATTAAAGTCCGCGGGTTCGGGTGAAGAGCTACTCTTGAAGGTGTTTGGATGGACCGCGGTGTTGGCAGGCAGTTGAGGATGAGCACTGTAGGCCATAGCAGGCAAGGCACTACTAATAAGTGGACCGACAGGCTGGAATGCTGAGAGTGTTGCGACACCGACACCGAGATAGCCGTCCGGAGGAGCGAGCCCAAGCGGAGGCACCAAAGACACCACAGGCTGATGCTGGCTGTGCTGGGCAGGCTGGGGTTGCACGAAGCCGGAGCCGCGCCCATGTTCCACCGCGGCTGCCCCACCAATCGGCGGTGTCACAGCAGTACTAACTCCGCTCTCATTGTCCAAAATAGCTGACGGCGGCAAGGCTGCCGCTAGGTCAGGGCAGCCTGGGGCATCAATGGCAATCAGCATATCAAAGTCATCAAAACCAGGGACGTCAACAACAAGCTCTACCAAGTAGTAGCTCTTCATACAGTCTGGGCCCCTGGTTGTTCATGGCGCCCCAAAATAAGTAGAGGATTAACTGTTGATTGGACAAGAGATGCGGCAGTAGTAGAACACCAATGCGGGTTTTCTTACTTTGGGCATGTGTCGAATGTTACTATGGAACATGTGCTCACACTATGCGTGATAAAACCACGTCACTTATTCACGCTCCAAGGTCCACCAGCCTCCCTTTAATCGCGGAGGATCGTATTGAACACGTGAGGTGTAGACACCCTACTTACCAGTAGTGAATGCCAAAAGGGGACACAGCATCGGATTAGAAGCTCATGTCGCTGTTCACAATAGAAATTTTGCCCAATCTTTATCACCTGTTCCTTGTTCCAGAGAGTCCTTGTCGGTATGGTAGGCCCACCGCCGGTGATGTTGTTACAAAGGGATCGGCATCTTTTTCTCTGCTGCCAATGACAGTCCCGTCAGTCTTCATGTTATCGGATTCTGGTTTCAGCGGTGTCGGCAGACTTCGGACACTGTCTTCGCTAGCTCGTCGTAGTATGTCTGGTGTCACGCGACCGCCTATTAATCCTCTAACACCGCCAGCTTTCCGCGATGGCATGTCTCCTGTCCCTGCGGTCAATACGTAAAGTAGGTACTTGAGATTCGGAAGCGTGTGCCGAATATCAAGAACCCTCAGACCTCGTCGGTTCATAAGAAACTCAATATCCTTGTTCAGCAGGAAGACTCCATATTCAAATTTGTATGGGACGGTGGTCGGATGCAGTGGGTATCTTCGTTGGCTGAGCCCGATTGATATCGGATCAGAGATGTAGGAAGCTGACCCATATGGCTCAATTGGGTATGGTAAAGGAACGGCCAGGTAGAGCCCCAACTGATGCACCAATTGCGCAGTATACCCAAGAGCTGCGGCAATCTCATCTCGGTTTGTATCGTTGTAAACCGAATTGGGCAGGTGGATGCCGCGGATGGTGAATTGAAGTGTCCGATTCTTGAGCGGTTCGATGGGGAAGATTGCAAGGAGCGACTCGCATATTCTTCTAATCTGTCCATTGGAATCTCTTGCAATCTGCTCAAGCCGAATTTCGAGCTCTTTGGACTCCTTTGCTCTTTCTTCGACAAAAGTCCAGCATCTGAATTCAGCTTCACGCCCCACGGCAAGAGCGTATCTCTGCTGTTCCAGAGATACCCGCAATTCTTCTTGCCGTTTCTTTAATTGCCTGAGCTGTTTTTGCTCTGCCGCCAATGCCGCCTTTGCCTGAGGGTTGTCGTCATCGATTTCGGGTTCTTCTTCCTCGTCGACCATGAGAACGCGTGCCTCCGCAAGGACTCTGTTGATGTCCTCCTCAAGTTGCGAGCGTACCTTGACAGCATCCTGGATACACTCATCTAAATTTGCGAGCTGCATGAGGGCGTCGAACGTAGAGCCCGATTTGCTAGTGCCGGCTCTGTGATCAACTGAATGCTCGACAGTGGGATGAGGCTCAGCAGGCAAATCTGTAAAGCTGGTGTAGATTCCATCAGACAGATGTAGCAAGATGCAATTTTGAGGCAACGGGTGGTGGAAGTTCTCCAGGCTTCGTCCAATGAATTGCAAAGACCGTAGGTTCAAGTTCAATTCAACAAGCAGGCAATAGTCTTCTGTCTTGGAGGGCCGGGCCCAAACTCGAATGGTACACTCGTCCGATCTTGATATTCGCGGCCCGCTGCTGTCCAAATCGAAGAATGCAAAGCTCGGATTCATGGACTTTTCTACGACCTCGCTGATGTACACAGGTTCGGAGATGCCTGGACAATGAACTGACACCCATGTATCGGCAAGGCGCTTGACAACCATATCTTCAAGCGTCGACTGACGGACACGGGGACTCGTTGTAGCCCAGTGTAGGGTGCTTCTTCTGCGGAGTCTCGCTCCGCCAGGCCTGGCTTGTCCTGTCTCATTTCTCTCGAAGGAAGTGGCAGCCCTCTGAGGCCCGCCGGCAATTGCAGCCTCGTCGATCGAGGTGGGGAGGTTTGTGAATGAACGCGAGTGGGTTAGATGCGACGGATTGGAGTCTTCCTGAAACGCGCGCTTGGCTGAGGTAACAAGATTGTAGGGGGCGTCATCGTCGGTAGTCGTCTTGCCCTGCCGCTTAGGGCTGCTTGAGGTTACATGGACATTTCGCAAAGAGATTCCGTGTAGATGACGCAGGCGTCGGTTCTGTGGCAGCGTGAGCTAGAAGAAAAGAGACAGGGGAATCCCACCGACCCATGGATACAGGAATGGCCGCCCTTGGACTCTTGAGTGGACGACGGGATCATCTCCACGATCAGCCATTGCTTCCAGTGCTGGTGCAACACATTGCTGATAATTTGTAGCGGGAGATCCGTTGCTGTGAGGGACTGCGCAAGACTACATTTGGCAAAATTGATGAGATATGCCATCCATCTATGCCGGTTCTTAGGAGCACCTTTTGGACTTTTGTCCATAGAAATGGCCGCCGCCTGTGGTCTGCGGGTGAAGTCTGCATGGAGCCAATGACCAATGGCAAATTGGCCAGCTTTGTGGAGTATCAATTCTCCGAGGTTTTTCCTGGCTATTGTCTTGTCACTCCACTGCCCCCGAACTTCCCACACCATTACCAAAAGATCTCTTCATACCTAGTCATAAACAGATCGCCGGCACTGTTACCATCTCGACAGAGAAATGCCGCAGACATGGCCGCTTCGAACCTGACAGGGTCTCCAAGCCTCTCCCTTGCAAATTCGCAAATGAGACCTGCACATTCCGGTTTCACATCGCGACACAGCTAACATTGAGCAATTCCAAGACATCGCTATGGACAAACCAGGTATTTGGGTCTGCAAACCCTGTTTCCCGTGTAGCTGACATTGGAAACAATGTACGCTCTATACCCATTTGATGACTGGACCTTGACGTCTTTGACAGCCTCGTCCACACCATCAAGTCTACTGTTACACCCCACACTATATCCTCTATCCACTGGTCTGCAATCTCCCCTTTCATATGTGTCACATCCTCGACTTGCCCTGACTGTTTTTGGAATGGTAGGTAAGCTTCAGACCAAGCATTCGAGTGGTACCAGGCACGAAGCCTCTGTCCACACCCAAACGACAGGAATCCTCCCCTCTCCTTGGCCCGAACCCCTTTTGTAACTTATCTGTATGAGCATGGTCTTATACCCAATGATAAATACTATGTCTACACCTCTTCGGCACCATTTCTGTCATTGAGTTAGAACCTGTTCTCTCTCAGAGTCGCAGTATGGTTTCCTGGGCGACCTGTTCTTCGGCTCCATTCGGGTTCTCCGAGCAATCCGTTCAGTACAAGCGCTCCAGAGGGAAAAGGCCGAGCCCATTTGCGGACGGAACTTGGGCAGTTGCTATGACAGCAGTCCATTTCAGCTGTCCAATTTCTTTCGACTCGCTCGCCGGAGGAGGGGCATCAAATACATCCTTGAACATGGCTCTCGTCAGGAAGCGCCGGTTTTCCACTTGGTGGTTAAAGAGGGAACCGGGAAAAGATAAACTTCCTGGACGCCGCAATGATTTCTCAGTTCTCTACCAATTCTTTTTCTATATACTCACTCTCCAACCAAGAGGTGGACACGCAGTACTCATTCCCCCTAGTGTGAGTTCCTCCTTTTCTGACCCATTCTCGGACTAGAATTGCCAACAACATCCCGAACAGCGTCATACACAAAGCATTATTTCTCAAAAATGAAGTTTCCAACAACGACGTTAGTTGTGCTAGCCGTCATTGGACAGACCCTAGGTTCCTGGATTGACTGGTTCGGGGATGTCACTTTGACGGAAACGGCGACAAGGATCATTCAATCCTGCCCTTGCAATGGGGAAGTGAGAGCCACCCCTGTTGCTCGTGGGCAAGATGTCCAAATATTTCCAAGGCCAGGACCACCGTTTGGCCCCCGTTTTCCTATACCGGCTGGAAGGACGGTGACCAAGGCAGGTCCAATCGTGGCTGTCTATAGCACTGCGGGCGCAATGACGACCAAAACCGGCATCGTTATTGAATTGGAGCCCACTCGTGGGGGTCAGGGTCCTAGACTAACAACTACGATCTGGACGAGCCCTCAGCCCACCAGTGATCTGGTCTGGATTGACTGGACCCCTGAGGACGGAAAAGACGGCGCTTCATTGACCCGCACTCGCACAAAATTCACGACTATCTATGGCCCTGCTCCGACAAATGCAGAGCTTGAGCCATGGGTCGACTGGTTCGAGCCTCCTCACACCAAAACATCAACTTCACGGTCCTCCAGTTCATCCTCTAACGTTGCTCCTATTGACAGTTCCACAGGATCGAGTGCACCTGCCTATGGCTATCCGACTCGCCCCAGCGGTTCTTCCAGCACCTCTGTGCCAACAACCTCTTCCTCGTCTAGCAGCGGTGGTGCTGGCCCAACTGGAGGCTCTACGTCCTCGGGGTCTTCTAGCCCCTCTAGTTCCTCGACGAGCGCCTTCAGCAGCAGCATAGGCGGCTCAACAACATCAAGCTCATCCTTCACCTCTGCCTCTCTCAGCATGTCCACCAGCTCAAGTGGTGCAACCACCAGCAGCCTGAGTTCCACCGGCATCAGTAGCACTACACAATCCGACCCAAGCAGCAATGGTGGTAG